GAGTGGTGGATCAGGGGAATAGATTAGGTATACATTACATTATAGTAAATGATAGTAATCTAGCATAGGACAAACCCAAAGATCCAGGCTTTTAGGACAAAGATTCATTATTTGACAAAAACTGCTGGGAAAATTGGAAAACAGTATTGCAGAAACTAGGTATAGATCAACATTTTACACCATATACCAAGATAAGGTAAAAAAATCGCATAAATGGTGATACCATAAGCAAATTAGGAGAGCATGGAATAGTTTATTTGTCAGATCTATGGATAAGGGAAGAAATTAGGAACAAAGAAAATACAGAGAGGATTATAAAATGTTAAAAAGATAATTTTGATTATATTAAATTAAAAAGTTTTTGCACAAACAAAACCAATGCAACCAAAATTAAAAGGAAAGCAGAAAACTGGGGGGGAAATTTGCAACAAGTGTCTCTGCTAAAGGCCTCATTTTTCAAATACATGGAGAACTGAGTCAAATTCATAAAAAAACCCAAGTCATTCCTCAATTGATAAATGGTCAAAGGATATGAACAGGCAGTTTCAGATGAAGAAATCAAAGCTATGTATAGTCGCATGAAAAATGCTCCAAGTCATTATTGGTTAGAGAAATTTATATTAAAACAACTCTGAGGTATCACCTTATACTTTTCAGATTGGCTAATGGTCAAAAAAGGCAAATAATGGATTTTGGAGGGGATATGGGAAAACTGGGATACTAATGCACTGTTGGTGGAGCTGTGAACTAATCCAACTATTCTAGAGAGCAATTTGGAACTATGGCCAAAGGGCTATAAAACTTTGCATACCTTTTGATCTAGTAATACCACTTCTAGGTCCATATCCCAAAGACAAGAAAAAAGGTGGAAAGGACCTATTTATACAAAAAAAATTTATAATAGCTCTTTATATGGTGGCTAAGAATTGGAGATTGAAGTGATACCTGCCACTTTGGCAATGGCTAAACAAGTTGTGGCATATGATTGTGTTGGAATATTATTGCGCTTTAAGAAATAACAAATGGGGGCAGCTAGGTGGCGCAGTGGATAGAGCACCTGCCTTGAAGTCAGGAGGACCTGAGTTCAAATCCAGCCTCAGACCAAACACTTGACACTCACTAGCTGTGTGACCCTGGGCAAGTCACTTAACCCCAATTGCCTAAAAACAAAACAAACAAACAAACAAAAAGCAATAACAAACAGGATGATTTCAGAAGGACCTACATGAACTGATTCAAAGTGAAGTGAACAGAATCAGGATAACATTGTATATAGTAACAACAATATTGTTCAATGAAGAACTGTGAACAACTTCGCTATTCTCAGTAATACAACGATATGAGACAATCCCAAAATGATGAAGCATACTATTCTCCTCCAGAGAAAGAAATGATTTTGTTTGAATACAGACTGAAGCATGCTATTTTCATTTTCTTTCATTTTCTTTTATTTGAGTCTTCTTCTACAAAATGACTAATATGGAAATGTTTTACATGACTGCATATATTTGATTGATACCGACATCTGATTGCTCATCATCTTAGGGAGGGGCTTGGGGAGGGAGGGAGGGAGAGACAAATAGAATTTGGAACTCAAAGCATGTTAAAATTGTTTTAATATGTAATTGGGGGAAAATAAAATATATTTAATTCGAGAGTGACAATACTACTTTAATTATTTATTAGTATATTAATTACTTATTCAGTGCCATACCAACAAAACTATCATATTTTATAGATCCAGAAAAAATAATAAAATTCATCTGGAGAAAGAAGGTCATGAATATCAAAGGAATCAATGAAAGAAAATGTGAAGAAAAGGGACTTAGAAGTACAGATCTCAAACTATATTACAAAGTAACAGTCATCAAAGCAATTAGGTACTGGATAAGAAATAGAGTAGTTGATCAATGGAACAGATTAGTTACACAATATACAGAAGCAAATGAGCACTGTGACCTAGTATTTGATAAATGCAAAGATCCCAGCTACTGGGGCAAGAACTCACTATTTGACAAAAAGTTCTGGGAAAACTGGAAAACAGTATGGCAGAAACTAAGCAAAGACTAACATCTCATACCATATGTCAAGATAAGCTCAAAATAGGTATATGCTTTAGAAATAAAGGATGATATCATAAGCATAGGAAAACACAGAAGAAATTACCTCTCAGATCTACGGACAGGGGAAAATACAAGAGATATAGAGGTTTATGAGAGGTTAAATGTATAATTTTGATTACATAAAATTAAAAAGATTTTGCAAAAACAAAAGCAGTGAAGCCATAAAAAAGTATGAAATGGGGAAAAATGAGGGAAAATTTTTATATCAAGTTTCTTTGAGAAAAATCTCATTTTTCAAATATGTAAAGAATGAGCCAAATTTATAAAAATAAAATCCATTTCCCAATATATAAATGGACAAAAAGGTATAGTCAGTTTCTAGAGGAAGAAATCCAAACTATCGTCATAGTTACATGAAAAAAAGTTCTAAATCAGTAATGATTAGAGAAATACAAATGAAAACAACTCGGAGGTATGACCTCAAACCTATCAGATTGGCTAGGATGAAAAAATTATTTGTATTCAAACAAAATCACTTCTTTCTCTGGAGGCTGACAGTATGCTTTATCATTTTGGGATTGTCTTATATCATTGTGTTGCTGAGAATAGCTAAGTCATTCACAATTCTTCAACAAACAATATTGCTGTTACTGTGTACAATGTTTCCCTGGTTCTGTTTACTTCACTTTGAATCAGTTCATATAGGTTTTTCCAGATTAATGCTTGAGAGGATGTGGGAAAATAGGGACATTAATGCACTATTGTTGGAGCTGTAAATTAGTCTAATGGTCACAGGTGGGGAACCTGTGGCCTCATGGCCACATGTGGCCCTCTAGGTCTTCAAGTTTGACCCTTTAACTGAATCCAAACTTCACAGAACAAATCCCCTTAATGAAAGGATTTGTTCGACAAAACTTGAACAGATGTCAAAAGGTTGTACCCAAGGACTAGAAGGCCACATGGGACCTTGAGGCCACAGGTTCCCCAGCTCTGGCTCTAACCCCTCTAGAGAACAATTTGGAACTCTGCCCAAAGAGCTATAAAACTGTGCAAAGTCTTTGATCCAGGAATACTGCTACTAGGTATATCCCTCAAAGAGATCAAATTAAAAAGGAAAGGACCCATATGTACAAAAATATTTATAGCAGATTTTTTTTGTGCTGGTAAGGAATTGGAAATTGAGAGAATGTTCATCAACTGGGGAATAACTGAAAAAGTTATGGTACATGACTATGATGGAATGCTATTGTACTGCATGAAATGATGAAGGGGTGGTTTCAGAAAAACCTGGGAAGACATATATGATCCAATGCAAAGTGAAGTGAGCAGAATCAGAAGAGCAATTTACACCTTAATAGCAATATTGCACTGATAATCAACTATGAGAGACTTAGTAATTCTGATCAATACAATAATCTATCACAAATCCAAAAGATTCATGATATAAAATGCTATCTACCTTCAGATAGAGAACTGATAGATTCAAGAATGCAGATTGAAGCATATTTCTCCCCTATTTGTCTAGCTTCATCACCCTCCTCCCCCAAAATGCCTAATGTGAAAATGTGTTTTGCATGACTTCTTATGTATATTAGGTACAGTATTTCTTGCCTTCTCAGTGGGGTGGGGGAGGGGGTGAACACAAGGAGAGAATTTGGAACTGAAAATAAAAATTAAATTAAAAAATTAAAACAACAATAACAACAAAGAACACTAGAATGGGAGTCAAAGGATTCAAATTCTAATGTTGGCTTTGTTACTCTTATTGTGGATTTGAAAAGTCATAAGCTCTGAGGCCTCAGTTTTCTCATCTCAAGGTGCTGAACAAGTTAATATCTAAAGTTCTTTTCAATTTTAAAAAGGATACTCAGGATCATTTTGTTAAAATATTAACAAATGAATCAATGAAAAGAGAATATTGTTCATACTTTGCCAAATGATGGTTTAATTATAAAATGATAATTTAATAATGGTTACCTACAGAGGGCAGCTAGGTGGTGTAGTGGATAGAGTGCCAGGCCTGGAGTCAGGAAGACTCATCTTCATAAATTCAGATCTGGCTTCGGACACTTACTAGCTGTGGGACTCTGGGCAAATCACTTAACCCTGTTTGCCTCAGTTCCTCATTTGTGAAATGAGCTGGAGAAGGAAATGGCAAACCAGTCCAGTATCTTTACCAGAAAACCCCAAATGGGTCATTAGACATAACTGAAACAACTGAACTAAATCGTATAAGCACATATACTCTCAAAATAATATGATATTCTTACTTTGCTTTTACAGGAAATATCAAAAAGTTAATTGTAATATCAACTTCATTTTGTCGAAAGAAAAGTCCAATTCTACAAGAAATAGCATAGTTTGGCTCTGTTTGATACTTATACTCTGCTTGATACTTATATTACTCTGTTACTCTGATAATTATATTATTTCATAATAGAGACAGGTATAGTAGGAAACTTTTTCTCTTAACCAACTAGGCATGCATTCAACAAAAACATAACTGATGAAATTTTAAAGTAGAAAGTTAATACAAAATAATTGCTCAAAGCAAAATTATGACCCTATTACTTGCAAATTAGCCAATCAGTACATCTTTTATAAATTAACAAAATCAATTTTAACTTTTAAGTGGTGCATATAAAGTTAATTATGTCATTTTGCCTTCTCAATGATTAAATGTTTCTGAAATTTTTAATATTCATTTCGTAGCCCACAGTTTATCTAACTTTGAAGAGAATTAACTAATAACAAATTAACCAAGAATATTAATTATAATTTCCATATATGACAAATTCTAACTAATGAATATAGCTCTTGCTAAGAGAAACCAAATTGAATTTCATGTTTTTAGAAAGCTCTGATTACTTTATTTTTCATTTCAAGAGTTAATCTAGTAAAAACAAATATTTGATTTTGAAAGTTGGGTTGACTTACTTTAATTTTTCAAAGAGAAATCCTTGCACTTCAATTGGTTCATTATCATCTTCTATTACTGTGTTATTCATAGCTGTATTATGAGATACATTGAGCAAAGGAAGAAAATGTAGAATATTTTTATAGTTATTACAATTAACTTTAAGGAATACTTATAAAAACTATAGACAAAATTATGGTTAAAATAGAAGCACAATCAAAATCCAACTTTCTCAACTTTGATGTCCGACTTGCACCTCAAGATCTTTACACCTCACACTGAATTATATATCTTTTCCTCTAAAACTTCTATTCCTTTTGACTTTCTTTTCTCTTTCAATTGTACAACCATTTTTCTAATCAGCCACATGGACAACCTTAATGTCATCTTTGATTACTTTTACTTCCTAGTGTCACATATAATCATTTGTTGATTCTGACTGCATTCTGATTCTCACTAATACTACCACTCACCTCTGGTCTCTTTTTATTTCAAATCTAGCCAACACACTGCTGCCAAAGTAGTTTTCCAAGGCACAATTCTGATCAGAACCTTCCAACAGATCTCCATTGCTTATCAAATAAAGTTCAAACTTCTTAGCCTAGCATTCAAAACTCTCAATGATGATTACAATTTACTACTTTTTGTCAAATTGCTTCCTCTTTCTTCTATATACTCTGTATTCTATTCAGATCAGATTGTTCACTAAACATTGAACACATTGATGCTCTTCTGTGGTTGCAACTTTGGTTATGCTATTGCCTACATTTTGAATACCCTCCTACCCGTCTCTAGCTGTTGCTGTCTTATGCTTCACTCCAGGTCTGTATTAAATATCACCATTTTCAAGAAACCTTCTTCCTAAATAAAAAAAAAAAAAGAAAAGAAACCTTCTTCCTTCCTCCTACCCCCACTCCCTAGCAAGATGAACTTGGCCTCTTTCCTAATCTGAGGTCTTTCATAGAACTCCTCCTAAATACTTATAATTCTAATTTTTACTATAAACCTGTGTATACCTCTTATCATCCTTTCTAGAACATAAGCACCTTGAGTAGTGGGACCAGATTTCATTTATCCTAAGAGGGTGTTAGTTTGTTGCATTAAACACATAAATTTTTGGTGACTAATGAAACATGGATAAGGATAGTATCAGATTAACCTGAATATGTAAAAGTTTGAGAGGAATTTTGGGAAGTACATTGATTCTTGAAGGCTCCCATGTTTTAATTATTGTCTGAAACATTAGTTTAAGGAACAAGAATGTAATAATAAAATAAACCAAGGGAATTTGTTTATAAGTTCCTAATATAACCAGGATTCATATAATATAATTCATGAGAATTAATATTCTTTTATTCATCAATCAAATATGCTTAGAGAATATATAAGGTGTAGCTGCTAGGTGCATTAGAGCATAATTTAAAGCACACTTAAATAGAGTAACATGCTGGATAATTTCTTGCTTTATAATGACATTTTTGATAATTCACCAGATAATGTACAATGAGTTTAAAAATAAATTATCTTCCCCCAATTCATTAATATACTTCTTTGTTTTCTTTTACTATCTCAGGCTACTTTCAGTTTATACTTCAAACACTATTTTTCCTAAAAAATGAGTATATTTAGGATGTGATAACCATTAAAATTCTACTATTAGTACGTGGAAATGAACCTACCTTTAACCTGTGTATCATCTAGTGCTTTGTACTCAGTACTCTTAATTGCAAGTTCCACACCATATCCAGACAAGTTCATTTTCCTAGAGTCTGGTTTCTGTTTTTTTTTAAAAAAATAAGTTTATGAAGAAGGAATATTCAAAATATTTCCTTTTTATAGAAAACATATAATTTGCTTTATGATTATTAAGGAAATACCTTAGGATATACTTTTACATTGTTTAAGATTTTTGAGGACATATGTAACAACAAAGCATATTCCATTAAAAAGAAACTGAAACAATAAAAAAAATATGCATATGTGTATCATATGTGTATATAATCAAGATAATATAACAATTTAGAGTATATTTGTACTGTTTAGTAAATCCTAACATATAAGTATGATAACCACTGTCTTAGTTCTTATGCGTATGCCATTTGAAAAACATTTTTTAACATTAAAAATTACTGGATCTTTTCAATCCACTAATGTACTAGGTTTCCTAAATTTTTCCTTCATGAGTTGGTTACCAAGATATTGAAATCATAAATAGAACTAATGCTTGACATAAGGGCGATATTAGAAGAAATCTAATGTTTCTTCCAAAATCTGTAATTCTTTATGCTAAACACCCAAACAACTTTATGTCTAAAGGCCACCAGGAAGCTATCAGAGCTGGTTTCAGAATAAACAAGACCTGGGTTCAAGTGCTCAAGTCCTGCCTGTGATACAAACTAGCTATGTATCCCACAGTTACTCAGTGCCCCAGCTAACTTGCTGATGAGTCTTTAAGTTGGAGGGCAGCTGCTGATTTGCATTGGTAAAAGTTTCCTTACCAGGAATTCCATATACCTATGAAATAAGTCTCGTGTATATTAGAGACAGAGATCTGTCTGTACACGTGTAATTCAAAGATTCCTTTGATTATTTTCTGTTCACTAGTATACTGTTTGAATATTATGACCCAACATTGTTATGCCTAAATTGCAGATAAAGATAGGTTTTACCAATGGATTGGATATAAGTGACAAAAGATTCAAAGAAGTAAAAGATAAATCTTGCTTTGAGAATGGCTGATATGATGGCAAATGATATCACTCTAGCACTGACATTATAAATTTGAAGTAATTAAGTATTTTTATGTTTTTCTCTCAATTTGCAAGACAACACAATATTCCACAAAGTTATATCTATTATTGTTCAAACAAAATTTTCTAAAGGGTCACAAATTAGAATAATAAAACCAAGCTCTAACTTTCCTAAATTAGGATGACATAAAACCATAGGTAAGGTTTATTTTAGGTACCAAATCTTCTCATTTTTAGCAACTTAGAAAAAGATATGCAATCTAATAGTTGACCTCGAGGTCTATTTGAATCCTAAAACTTTTTGATTTTATGATACTAATCAGTTGTTATCTCCAAGCCATATACGCTGCCCATAGGCTACATGGTAGGCTAAATTTAACCCTCACCACATATTTGGCCACATACTTCTTTACAGGGAGTTGTATGGCTTTGCTTTTCATCAAATAAGGTTCATTTAGCAACCCCATCCATGTTAAAGAGGACAGTGTGTGGTCACTCTTTCTTTCCTTCTCATAGCTTCCTGCTTTTGAAATCTGTTTCCCCTCTCCTGGCTACCAAAAGGTACATGTCAGGCATCCTTAAATATCCATATCTTGGTCTGCTATATATTGTAGATAGAACAGAAACAGAGGTAGGGACCTGTGACTTCACTGGCACCAGAAACTTCCTTGACCAACACAGGTAGGTACCTTCTCTGTAAATTATACTCTAGGAGGAACAGACTATAATCAGACTCATTATATGAGCTGAAATATGCAGACAAATACTTAGTAGTCCTGCCCATATCAGAAATCCAATTTGTCAGTTTCTCAGACTAACTATAAAACTGTTAGGCACATGCTATAATGGAAGGCAGAATGTGTGAAAACTGGTTTATTTATAATTTCAGTAATCTGATGAAATTGAATTTTTAAAACTTTCTAATTTAATATGATTCCATTTAAGAACATATTTAAAGAAGCTACTCAAAAGTCAATCAACTGTGGGGCAGCTAGGTGGTGCAGTAGATAGAGCACTGGCCCTGGATTCAGCAGGACCTGAGTACAAATCTGGCCTCAGACATATAACACTTACTAGCTGTGTGACCCTGGGCAAGTCACTTAACCCCATTGCCTAGTCCCCTCCAAAAAAAGTCAATCAACTGATAAGCAAATCTATGGTTAAAGGCAACATATGCTGCTTTACAGTTCATTTTAAAAAAAAGGAATGTTACACAACCAATTTCCAATTATCAACCCCAGAAAGTTATTAGCTTACCAATAATTAACACAAATGCTTATTAAATTCGTAATTACTTTCACCATTTGAAAATGTATTATAATATAATGTTTGAATTGTAAGTTTGGATTTGTAGCCCCAAATATACATGCTGTCAAGTGGAGAGACACTCTTTCATATAGTTTTCTGCTTCTTTCTCCATACTAGACTTGAAGAATGGTAGGTGGTAAGAATTCAGACAGACTTCAAGTAAATAGTGGTACCTGAGCTGAGTTTTGAAAAAAAGTAAAGATTCTAAGAGGCAGAGGTGAGGAGGAAGTATATCCCAGGCACTAGGGACACCCAGGGCAAAGGCACAAAGAAAGAAGGAATGTGGTTATGTGAGGAACAGTTAGTCGGTTTGGCTGGACCAAAGTGCATCAGGGAGATTAATGTTTTTAAGGTTAGAAAAGTAGGTATGCCAGAAAAGTTAATATTTAAGAATAGGTAGTTACTGGAGTTTATTAAGTAGAAGGATGATATGGTCAGACCTGTGTTTTAGGAAAATGACTTTAGCAGCCATGTGCAGGATGGATTGGAGAGGGAAGACATATGAAATAGGACAACCAATTAGGTAATTGTTATAATAGTTCAGGTGAGAAGTAATTGTAATGAAATCCTGAATTAGCATAATGGCTACGTAAGTAGAAAGATGGATACAAGAGATATGGAGACAGAAAGATTTGAAAAGTGACTGATATTTGGGTGGGGTAAACAGTCAAGAATGACACAGAGATTATGAACCCTGGTAATTGGAAGGATAGTTGTGTCCTTGACACAGATAGAGGGCATTCTAAAGAGGAGTGGTTTGAGAGGGGAGGGTAAAGAATAAATTCTCTTTTGGACAGAATTAAATTAAGAAATATATACTACCAGGTTTCAATCACATTTTTTTCTGGTCTTAGGAGGAGGTTCCTATCACATTTTTCACATTCCTTTGAGTAGGGCTCCTATAGGTTTAGCAGTGATGATTAGATTTATAACCCTACAAAGAGCTACCTCAATCACTTTCATCTCTACCATAGTTAGGTAGACACCAACAAGTAACTTATTTCATATAGTAATTCTATATCATATAGTGTATTTTAATGTTCTAAGACCCAACCCAGCGCCACAAATGAGAGAAATTCCTGGAGGGCTAAGGTAATTCAAATAATTATCTAGCACTTGGGTCTCAGGACCAAAAGAAAAGACTTAGGGGAGACTCATAGCAATAAGTGGAGGCCTCTTCTCTTTCCTTTGAGGAATAATAAAGAGCTCTCAAAAAGGCTGTAGTACTGTGTGAGTTAAGAAGATTAAGATGTTAGAGGATTCATACTAGTATGTGAGAATCATGGTTTGAGCTGCTGTTGGTAAGACTGTTAATTCCATGACTTATACTGACAAATTAATAGGCTAGATTCTTGAGAACCCAGGACCAGTTGCTCACAGTGTTATTAAAATTGTTAGCTACAAGTAATAGTATTCAATAACTTAAAATTTCACTGATTTAGACAAATTGATTGGTGAAATTTGTTAATAAATATCTTTTAAAGAAATTCAATTTTATTCATTTCATACATATATGTCACTAGAATGAGACAACAGTTACCTAACAGAAGTCCTTGTGATATTTGCTTAAGCATAAGAAATGATTAATTTTATTTGTTATCTTCTATGTGCTCAGCACTGCATCAATACCTATTCAAGACTTTCATCTATGTATTATAGAAAATTAACTTTCTCTTAAAATTGTATTATTAGCTTACAGGTATAAGATTTTTAAAACATAAAGATGTCTCTGTTAAAGTTTGTTCCCTATTAATGACTTTATTAAATATAATGGTAATATCTTATAGAAAAATAAAACATCATAGGACTATGCCATATTTTCCATCTAGCAAAATGTCATCAAATAGTGAGAGAAGGTACAATAATCTGCTTCATGATAAATTCAGTAACGTAAAAAATATTAAAAGGTCATGTCCCCAAATAATAGGAAAATCACATTAATTTAAAAATAGAACTAGTTTCCCTGGTATATACTATAAAAGAAGAAACTGCAATTCTTGTTTAAATATTTTGCTTAATAGTTCTATGATGTTTGAACTAAACATGACCTTGCCAATGCCTACTTTAGTATATCCAGACTGCGAGTTCAAGACATGTTATCAGTTTTCTTCACTGAGGGTGTTTCTACACTAAGAGTTTCCTATACAGATAAATATTAACACCTAGATCCACTTCTTCCCCCCCCAACACAAACCTGACATATATGTTTACTAAATTATTATACACATATAGCACATACACACAAATCATACCTTCACATAATAAAGTATGATGGATAGAGTGCTGGACCTAGATTCAGAAAAACTTGGGTTCAAATCCAGCTTTGGACATTTACTAGCTATCCGACTATGGGTGAATCACAACTTAAGCCTGAATTTCCTCATCTTGTAAAAGGTGGATAAAATATCTGTAGCACCTATATTGCATAGCTGTTATAACATCAAGTGAGGTAACTAAAGTACTTTGCAAACTTTAAAACATCATATAAATGTTAGCTATTATCATTATTGCATACATAATACGTACATAATTAAAAAGAACTTATAGCTAGGTGGCAAAGTAGATAGAATGCTGGACCCAAATTCAGGAAAACCCAAGTTCAAATCTGGCTATAGATACTTAATAACTGTACGACCTTGGTTGTCATTTAACTTCTGTACTCCTCAGTTTCTCCTCAACTGAAAATGAGGATAATAATAGTACGTATTTCCCCTGGTTGTTGTGAGAATAAAATGAGATAATAATTGTGAAGTGCTTTGCAATTCTCAAAGTGCTATATAAATGCTTGATATTACATACTTAGCAATAACATACAGTTCAAATGGTATATACATACATACATACATACATACATACATAAACACACACACATACATATATATACACATATACATATATCAAATAAAACCAAGAATCCAAGTGATTTTTGTTTTTGTTTTGTTTGTATATCATAATACAAAAAAATCCAAAATTATAAGGACTACTTGGAGAATGTTTAATAGCATGTAGGAGATTTCAATTTTTAATTAATTTGAACAACATGGGAGGCAATGGTATAATGGCAGAGAACACTGGATTTGGAGTCAGAGTAAGGACTTCTATTAAAAATGCCTTGGCCCTCCTTTTCACTGTCACTGTGACAATTCACTTAACCTCCTTTCATTATCTATGAAGTGAGAAGGCCAAACTAGAAAACCTTCCTGCTCTGAATCTACTCAACCATAAAACTAATGTGCGTCCAGTGAGAATTTTTTAAACTGCTTTACTTATAACAATAAAGAAGAGGCCTTACTCTTTGCTTTGCTACTCTACTCTAAGTACCATAGGAACTTTCTGTTTGACTTGCAACTAAAACCTTTCCTCTGTGTATCTCTCCCATTATAATGGGAGTTCCTTGAGAGCAGGGACTGTCTTACTTTTCTATTTCTATGACCCCAATCTAGAGCTTAGAATATTATTTCATTTTATTCCCGCAACAACCCCAGGAGGTAGAGGCTATTATTATCCCTATTTTATAGATGAGAAAACTGAGACAGACATGTTAAATGACTGGCCCAAGGCTATACAATATGTAAGTGTCTGAGGTTGAAGTTGAACAGGTCCAGTGCTCTATCTAAATGTGCCATATAGATGAAGTCTGAGTCCTGACCCTGATTTACTACCTAAATGTACATAGGTAATTCATTGATAACCATTCAGCCTCACTTTCCTTTTAATGATATAGGAATAATAATATTTGTACTATCTAACTCACAAGGTTGTGAAGAAAATGCTTTGTAAAGAAAGTACCACATAAATGTGAGTAGCTACTATTATGAATGTTGTATGCAAAAAGATGAACAGAAACTCCAGTAAATGTTTATGTCTATTTCACTGCATGAAAACGATAATCTAAGGAAAACTTTCTATTATATGAGTTAATAGAAATGAAATTATTTTAGCAGTCATGCCGAATTTGATATAAAAATAGCATACCTGAATATAATGCCGGAAAACATACAGAATTTCTTCCTTTTGAGCTTTCTCTAAAAGAATTTTGTGAAATTTACTGAAGTCTTTAGTACCCATTTCTCCATAAAGTATGATCACTGGTAGGTTCTCAGTGACTGTAGGATACTTATGATCTCCTTTGAATAAATACGGCCTAGGCCTAAAATGAAAAGAAAAAAAAACACACTTTAGTAAGGGTATACAGTCAACAGTATGTAAGAGATATCGAAGAGTGTTCATATCTGAGTGTCTAGCTGGCATGCTGGAAAGCAGACATTGATCTAAATTTACTTGTCTCTTTCCTTTCCCCAATGAGTAAATCCTGCCTGGAACCTGTTCCAAACATTTGAGACTTCCCTAATGTTTCAGTTTGTGACTTCACTTATTTTCTGTCTACCTCCCTACTGCCCTTAACTACCTCGGGAAAGAGTTAAGGTGTCCTAAGAGGTGAAAAATGTAGCAAGTAAATTATTTTCCCTGGTTAACTTCTCCCTTCCAGAATAAGAAGTAGGAGTCAAGAGGGCTGAGACAGATCCTTAAGGCTCCAAAATGTACCTAAATTAAAATAAGTGAGAAAAGTCCCTTACTACACTGTTTTCCAGCCCTCCTCCCCACCTACCCTGGACAGAGAGAGAGAGAGAGTGAATTATTTCCATTACCTTTTACTTTTTCCTTTGGTCAACTCAACTCACTTTTACAAGTATTTACTAAAGATCTACTTTATTCAATGCAGTGTACTCTGATTTCAAGAAGCTTATGATCTAGTTGGAAGTCAATTACATTAAAAAAGCTATAATGCAAGTCATGATAAGCATATAAGAAAAGTACTAAACAGTTTAGTTGGAGAGATTCAAGAGGGAAGGTATAATTTATAGTTGGGGGGATAATACTTCAAAGGCAGAAACACTTGAATTGGGTCTCAAAAAAAAGGAAGGGTGTGTGAAAATATGGGGAAAGAAAGGAGAGAAGATCATTCCACGCATGGAGAACATGGTACACAAAGTCATAAAGGTAGGAAAGAATATAATAGGGTTTGTGAAAATGGTTAGTCTAATTTGAATGGAACCTAGAATATATGGAATTACATGTTAAGTACATGTAAGTTGGACATAGCAAATATGACTATAACAGAAGACTTTTCAAATTTATTGTTTTCCAATAGGACATAAGCACCAATTTTTCAACTGAAGTCTATAACACTAAAAATTAACAGAAGTAATGATAATAGCAATTATAGCTAACATTTATATAGTGCTTTAAGGTTCACAAAATGCTTTACAAATATCTCATTTTATTCTCACAAGAATCCTTGGAGGAAGGTGCTATTATTATTCTTATTTAACTGATGAGGAAAGAGGTAGAAGAGGTTAAGTGATTTGCTCAGGGTCATACAGTCAGTATGTATCTGAGGCTGGATTTGAACTCAGGTCTTCCTGACTCCAGGTCCTCTACTCTATTCACTGCGCCACCCAACTGCCAAGGTAAAAAGACCCTAAGTTTATTTCAGTTCTGAAATGAAAGACAATTTTTTTTAATCAAAAAATCATAAAAAGCCCTGATGTTTTATCATAGTTTAACTGAACTAGAGGATTCCACCTGTGAATTTAATATTGTGCCTTACAATATTGGAGAGAGTATGAAATAATCTATAAGCAAGAATAACTGTTGGTGTTTCTTCAAGGTTCCCAAAAACTGTCATAACTTAAGAAGATGAGAGAAAACACTATCCACTCCATCATTTTTAAATGCTGAGCAACTTATTGAATCTAAACTACATTTCCACAGAAATAAATGTCATTTTTATAAGGAAAATTTTGTTAACTCTTCACTAGGAAGATGAAATCATTCCAACTAGTTCTATGAGAGAAATATGAACATGCAGTAATAAATTTTGTACAACTAACTTTACTTTTATCTGATCTTGCTTTCATAGACATTTAGATATTGAAAAGTGGAACTAAAAGCTCTGAAATATCTAAAATGATGAAAACAAGCACATATTAAGAAAGCAGACATAAGAGAAAAGGAAGTCACTAATAATTTTTTTAAATTAAAAGGGGGGAAGCCATTATTAGTCAGAGGTCTAGGCAAAATGCAAGATAAGCACTGCTAAAAATAACATCACATAGATTACTTTCACATAACAAGAATGTGTTATGTGTTTATGGTAGCTACTTTAAACAAAAGGCAGAAAAACCATAATTTGAATTAGTTGGAGAATAATCTAATTTGTAAAATAAATATAAACTGAGGTTTTCTAGCTTTCAAGTAAATGTGATATTCATTAACTCTAAATGCTAACAAACTATCATAAAGTAAAAATTCCAGAATTGCTTTAAAATAACAGAATCATTTACAGAAATAGAGACTGTTCAGGAGATTGAAGATCCTACTCTTTTCAGCATGTTAAATATCCCCTTTGTAATCTTACTTTAAATTGTTATTTGTAGATCACCTATACCTCTGTAGGGTACCATAAAGGTTATAATAGAGAAAATAGTACAAGACAGATTAAAGTGCTTTCCCAAAGTCATACAAAGTTAGGATTGGATGTTTTTCCACTGTAAAACACTATCTCCATATGTAAAACCTTTTAAATATAAACATAAATTTTATTTCTGCTCCACTAAAATTATAACAAATTCCAAATCAAGAGGGTCTACATTAAATAAATTTAAAGCCATATTTATAATCATTCCTAAGCATTCACTATTTCTTCATTATTCTTTTAGTAGTTTATATACAGTACTTATTTCCTGTTATTGATAGGTTGCTTTGTAACACATTTAGGATTTTCTGTGTAAAAAGAATTCCCTGGTGGCAGTGGCTTGTTTCTAGTTTTTTAGTTTCCCACATAATGACTACCATTTTGCCTAAAATAAAGTCTTATCTGGGTGGATAAAAATTCATTTTTAAAGATCTAAATTTCATTTAAATTGTATTTATATAAAAAGGATTTTATTTAAAAGAGAAACTATAGTAACAATTCTGTTTAAAGATGTGTAAACACTATAAATCTAATCATATATCATGCTTATTATTCTAGTGAAATAATTTTAAAATATATTTTTAAAATTTTTGTTGATGGCTGACTTCCTAACAGAGTATAGCAGAAGTATTCTTGAAATATTCATTATTAACCTACCTACATAGAAATATATGAGCTTCAATGAGTTTTGGGAAATAAAAGAAAACAGTATTACTGTTTTTTGATATAGCCTCAAAATTGTTATTTAAAATAATAAAATAAAACAGGGTTTTAAATTACATAATTTACTGTAGTGGAAAAATTATAAACTTGGATTCTGTTAAGATGATCTCTGCCTCTGACACTTTCTGTCTGTTTCTTCATGTATGAAATGATACAAACTACTATTTCTCTTTTTATCCTACTTTTACTAATTCTTTCACTATGAAAGATTTTCAATTTCATGTATTGAAATTGATCTATTTTATCTTATGTAACAAACTCTGAGTGCAGATTGAAGCATACTTTTAAAACTTTCTTTATCTTTCTTGGGCATTTGTTGTGTTCTTTTGCAACATGGCTTCTATGGATATGTTTTACATGACTTCACATGTAAAACTGATATAATGTTGCCTGCCTTCTCAGGGAGTGAGAAAAATGTGGATGGGGGGAAGAGAATCTGGAACTCAAAATTTTTAAAAATTAATGTTAAATTTTTACATGTAATTATGAAATATTTAACAAAATAAATTTTAAAAATTTTTTTAAATTCTCCCTCTACCATAGTAGGGAAAAATAGCTGATCTGCATCTCTTCTAAATTTTTCATGGTATGATCTTTAATATTCAGATTATTTATCCACTCACTCAAAAAGCTTCCTGTTTACCAGGTACTGTGCAAACACATTCCTGGCCTTTAAGGAGCTTATAGTATATTCAGAGAAATAACATAAAAATAACTATGCACATGCAAAGTAAATAGAATGAATGGCCAATCTTGGGGGTTGGGGGGAAGGCACCAACAATGGTGAGGGGGAGGGACCAGGAAAAGTTTTTTTTTCTTCCTCAGAAGGTAGGATTTGGACTGTCTTGAAGAGAACCAGGGAATCCAAAAGGCGGGGGGGGGGAGGGGGGGAGGAAGAACAGCATTTCAAGGATTGGTGAGAGGAAGTGAAAAGGCAGAATTAGGTGATGGACTGTTTTATGGGAGAAAAAGCAAAAGGACTAGGGTCACTGAATTCTAGAATCCTTGGATAGGAGTAAAAAGTAAAAAGACTGGAAAGGTAGGAAGGGGAAAGAGTTGTGAAGGGCTTTGGTCAATCATTTTCACTGTTTTGGCATAGTAAGTTCTGATTATTATTTTTATTTCTTCTGGTTTTATTGTGCTTCTACCTTGTTCATTTTTAACCAATGTCAATGTGTCAATTTGTTCTGCTTGACTATACATATCTGTTACGAAGTAGGCTTCTATGATGGGGGAATGAGAGGAGGGATATAGTTTAGTGGATAGTAATAATGATGCCCCCAAAAAGGAGAAAATAAATAAAAGTGTCAATGGAACATTTTTAAAAGTATATAGAAGAGAGGAGAAGGAAGCTCAGAAAGGGGCAGAGACAAGGAGGGCAGTTGTGTTACTACTTTTTAAAATTAAATATATTTAAAAAATAAACTGTACATAAGTGCCCACAATTTCATATACAAGATTTTCTTTTACATTGAAATTTTAATGTTTTTAAGTTCATTATGAAAAATAAAATAATAGGAATAAATGTGATAGCATGTATAAATTCAAGTCTCTTTAAACTAAGTTTTCAAAAAGAGTACATTTAAAGATCATAAACCTGTTAGAATTATTGCTAACACTACTACCATTATTTGCCTAATCTACATTTCACATTCCACCAGGTGGACTGAGGCCCACAACATCATAGTGGATATTACGTCCACATCATTGAAAAGGGATCAGCCTGATTATTCATATAGAAAGACAAAGTGTATGAAAAATGCATATTGCCAAGATTAGTTCATGCAGCTGGACTGCAAGTCCTTTACTATATCAACAAATTGGAAAAACTTACAATATAAAATGGAATAAAATGATATGTTACCTCGTGACCCTTGCCCTCACTATCCTCTCAATCTATCTTTCTAATTTTCTCCGCCCCTCCACTGACATTCTAGCTATTCAATTGCACAATTATTTATGCCTAGATTTGAAAAGGAAGAAGAAATCAGGGTTCAGATCAACCAAATTTACAGTTGGTAAATATGTACTTATCAATCCTGAGCTATTCACTGACACAAAATCCATCTTTTTAAATACCAATATTCTCTAGGTGATGTGAAATGGTTGCAAATCACGGAATACAATAATTTCAAAAGAATGAAAATTTAAAATGACCCAAATAATAATGGAAAGATGGATCCTGACTGTGCCCTAATCAGTCCATATATTGCCAACAGTAATATAAATATGGGTAATATAAAAGATAACAATGATACATAAACAGACCCCCCCCATATTTATAAATATATGCAGTAAAAGAAGTAAGATACTTATGCATCAAAAAGTCAAGGATACACAAAATATTAAAAGAACCACAGCAAAGACAGTAACACAATGGACAGATCATTTATGGAGGGTTTATAGAAAAAAATATGAAAGAAAATTGTATAGGATGAGAAGGCCTTGAAAGATTGCAATTTAATTCAATAGGAGGGGATGGAGGGAACCTGTGATCTTGAGACCACATGTGGCCTTCTAGGTCCTTGTCCAAGTTTTACAGAAGAAATCTTTTTATTAAAGGAATTTATTCTGTGAAGTTTGGATTCAGTCAAAGTGTCACACTTGAGAACCAAGTCCTATACCAATGAGATCATAGATCAAAGTAAATGTAGGTCCAGAATAAACAACTCCTGGGAGAATGGGATGTACCATTTCACTAATTAACCTTTTGTTCATTTCTCAATTTATGTTTGTAATAAATACTTAAGCAATCAATGTTGAATACACATTATATTTATTATTTAATAAAATTTCTATTCTTTAAATTTTTCATAAATATTCATATTTTCAACCAAAATGAGTAATGACAAAATTAACAACAAAAATATCAAAATTATTTTATAGTAATATTAGAAATATAGATGGATAATTTTAAAAGCGTAAATACTAGAACTGAAAATATCTATGAAACCATATGATTAGAAAGGTTTTTATTGTGATAATACTTTCTTTATGAACTACTTCTTTTTCTATAGATATTCATTTCATTACCTCACAGAAGCCTTCTTCAGAAGCTTTTTAATCTCATTAGTTTGACAGGTGCGCTCCTTATGGATAACCACAAATGCACTGCAATCTTCGGGTGGTAGTTCATCAGCAGCAATCTAACATTACAAAGTTTATACTGAACTAGGAAGGTGTTATTGCAATCCATTTTAAATTAACATACTTATTTGATGAAAACAAATCTTAATTAAAGTAAAAACTTAAAAGTAAAGAAAAAACCATAGAGAATATTTTCAATTTTGTTTTTGGCTAGAGAAAAACTACAACAAGATCAACTTTATTTTAGGAAATACTGAATTCAAAATTTACATTAAAAGTTTGTAATATTTCAAAAGGTAATACTACATTCTATCCAGGCATGAACACGTTCCTTTATTATTTGCCCCATCCCCAAAACACACACACACACACACACACACACGCACATGTGTACACCCACACCAGTGGAAAATCACATCATACTCACTTAATTTCTAAATGCTTGGTTCATAAAGAAAATGTTATCAGTAGGCCATAGTAATCAACATGGGTTTCTATGGAATATATTTGGAATACCAAATATAGACAAGCTAATTTTACATACCTGTTGAAACATTTGAATAGTTGGCGAATACGCCCTTATAGATAAGGCAAATTTTAAGAGATTAATCTGCAAATTGTTTAAAAATTGTCCTGCTTTTTTCAAGATTAAGTTGTAATAAGAGTATTCTGAGTCTGTAAAAAAAAACAAACAACAAACAAAGGTGAGGAAAAGAGAAATTTAGTATTGTATATCCAATAGCTTCCAACCTCCACTTATCTACGGCAGGAAACTAACTTATCAATGTCAAATAATTTTATATTCCAACTTTGAATACCTATGATATGAGAAGGAAGGAGAGTCAGAAAATCAAAATCCTTGTTCTGTTACTAACTTCATATATTATCACAGAATGCTTGTTACTAGAATAAGTGCACATGATCTGTGGTTTCTAAACCTGCTTGCAGAGTCTGTCTGGGAGTTTCCATCCCTGATAGGGCTGTCCAATAGATCTCTACTGTCATGATCAGACTTCTCGGGCAGCGGTAGATAAGAAATCAAGAACCTGAGACGGTTATTAAGCAAGAGGATGCATTATACATATGCTGTCATACATCAACATCCAAGTAGAGATCACATAAAAATATGGATCATGGTAATATTTTATTCAATAAAGATAATTTGTCAATACTCTCAGATGGTAAAGGTCACTGGGAGAATGCATATAGGAAGATAATTCAATTACTTAACATTTACAGAGTGCCTTCAAAGCACAAGGCACTATGAGGGATACAAAGGTGAATTATGAATGCATGGTCCCTGCTCTCAAAGAGTTTTCAATCAAGCAGACTAGTACCAAGTACCAATTTTTTTAAAAAGGCCACTGATGAAAAAGAAATATACAACAGAACCTCTGACCATGAGGGGAAAACAAATTTAACTATGGAGATAAGAATAGAAGATATGAAACCAATTAGTCTATAACAGAGGCTCCCAACTTGGGGCATATGTACTCACAGGTGGGAGAAAATAAATTTTGTCAAAGGATATAGGAAATATTTGGTAAACAAGTAATACAAAATTTCAGTGAAAAATTTGTGGATTGGAAA